TAAATCCAAAATAATTAAACACATAGTTAAGCAGTAGATCTAAATATTGAATCTTATAACATTCCCATTGCCTTTTCCAAAAACAAATGCTATAATAAAAATTTTATAATAACATCAATACCATAATCTTATTAAACTCTTTAATTAAAACTCAATATTCTAAACCTTCCCTTTAATATTATTAAATTTTAAAATCAATCATTACTAAACATTTCAACATTTTGATCTCTTATCAACTCTTAAACCATTTTAGTTTTCTATTTCTAATACAATGCTACAATATCATCTTATGTACCTTGCAAAATCTTTTTTGAAGAATTTATACTTTACCCTTTATCCCTAAAAAAGATTCCTTTTTTCCCATCTAATTTCAAAACTTTGTGGCTTTTCTCCACCTTTTTCCTTCCTTTCTTCCCCCACCAAACCTTTCTACCCCCCCTTCTTCTAGCCTCTGCCTTACTGGCTTCCCTTCTCTGTTGTGTTCCTTTTTCCTTTTGTTTACTATCATTATATTGATTTTGCACCTTATTTTTCTCCTTCTTAAGTGTTTTTTTAAATCTTAAGTCCTTCATTTCTCTTCCTTTCCCTCTTCCTTCTTTCTTGGTTAAATTCTGAAATTCATTAAAAATGACTTCTTCCTCTCCTTCTTCTTCTTCTGCTGTCTTCATCTGTTGTAATGTTTGTTGATAGTTAGCAAGCGCCATTTCTAAGAAAAGGAAGGCTTCTTTCAAACCATCTTTACCATCTTTTTTTGTTTGCTCATATTCTTTTCTCAGTTCCTCAACAGAAAAAGCCATTATAAATCTTTTCTTTTCTTTTCCCCTTCTTTCTTCTTGCAGCAACCAAGATATTTAAAAAATAAAATAAAACAGTCCCAAAGTTATCAATCAGTCCAAGCCAAGGCAAAGTTCTCACTTTCTCTTCCTGGGGTAGTATCAATCAGAAAAAAAGAAAGTCCAAATCTGTTTCTTAAAGTCTTATTGCAATATATTTCAGTCTTCAAGTCCTTAAGGCATCTCCTCCAACAAAGTCTTAGCATACAAATATTTTTTTAGTCCTCTCCCTTCTCACTTATCACTTAAAGCCAGTTTTTACCTAAAAAAAATAAGTTTCTTAATATCCACTTATTAATTCCGTAGGGAAGGAGAGTAAACTTTCCTTTCAGCACCACCAAGTTGCCGCTTATTTTCTCTTCTAGAAGGTATCATTCAGAAAGCCATAATTTCCAGGAGTTTTGTTAAATATATCTCAGAGTCCCGGGAACCAGAAAAACTTTCTCTTTTCAAAAGCTTTCTCCACTTCCTCCTGCGCATTCTTACCCGGCTGCCAGCTTCTTTGTGGCGGCCATTACGGACCGCCGCTGCACCGTCTTGGGAAAAGGGGGTTCTGCCGGCTGGGAAGGGGGTCTGCAACACCCCCAAACCTCACTCCGGATCCCCCTTATCTTCAGCCACCCCTGCAGGGCAGCCTTAGCTCCAGACCCATCCGGGTTGGAGCACCAAAAACGGCTAGCGGAGCAGGGATTGCGCAGTATCGCGAATCCCTGCCGCTTGCGAAGCCGACAAACCGGAAGTCTAAATATGCAGAATTTAATGGTACTGCAAAATATGCAGAATTCGAATGCAGTGATAAGAGATGGAACAATAGAAATTTCAATGGAAGAACATAACATTTATTCCAAACATCCTCCGGTGAACATGACTTCCGACTATCTTTAGCTTCCTTGTTGACCTTGCTGTCAGTAAACGTTGGAAATTGTGATCTCATGACCATGGCTCACACCTTCATTTAAATGTCCAGATATAAAATAATCCTGTTCTACAATAAGGAGCCTTGAGACAAAATAGCTTTTTAAAATAAAAATGTGTTAGTGGGCACCCAAAGATAAGAGATCCTTGTTGTACTCATTTGCTCATGGTAACCCAGAAGTGAAACTCCTGCAGAAAATGCACAATCAATTTCTGGAAGCTCTAATGCTATTCTAGCGATTTCCCATTTTGCAGTATAGTACATACTGAATGTTGACAATTCTGAATATATAGCAGAAAATTAAATGTTAATATTATTAGAAATAGTTTCCTTTTTAAAATATGATTCCAATAATATACACATTAATAAGCTTCAAGTTAAATAATAGGTTATATTAAAGATTTTTATTTAGGAATCAATATAATTTAGGAAGTAAATTGTACATGGATTTTGCCAATCTGGCTTGAAACATAAAACTATAAAAGCATGAAAAATTTCATGTACACCAGTTACATAAATACGGTTAATGTTTTTCCATTTAAATGTAAAACATGTTATAGTTTAAAATTAATAACAATGAAGTGCCTTGTAGGACAAAAAGCAGTAGCAACTATAACAAGCATTAAACACACATTACAACAAAATGTAAGTAAATATTACAGTTTTCAAAAATGTAATTAACAGCCAAACACAGTTATTGCATTCAGCTCAAAATATCAAAGTGATTTTATCATCTTTGAAATTTTTAACTTCTAAATCTTAAAAATAATATATCCTCTCTAGAGCTAGGAACAAAAATTGATGTAAGAGTTTCCAAACAATATTAAATAACTTCAAAGAATATTTATAGTAAATCAGGCCTATCACCATTTTAAAAAAATCTTCTGTGAAGTAAAGAACCCAATAACTCAACAAGTAGGAATGTTTCTTCAAAAAGAAAATGAAAAACCTGACAAGATGAAGAGGGTCTGGAAAATAGGATTTAAAATCAAAACTGAGTTCAGTCTTTGTTTAAGAGTTAATAATCTCCATGCCTGTGCCAGTGTTAAAACAGTATGACTGGATTCTGTAACTAGAAACAAATAATACTAGATGGAAGTGTGTTAGTCTTTTCGAACTCTTCGTTTACGTACTGATTTTGCAGGTCCATCGACAGACCCAGTGCTTTCATCTGCTTCTCTCATCTGGGGGAGGGGAGGAAAATATGCATGAGAGTTGTCAATATAAGTTATTGTTCACTATTATCCATCTAGGTTGCAACTAAATATTGTTTACTTTTGAAAATATTTATTTTTAATATTAATGTTTTTATTTCCTAAGAGCATTAAGAAAATCAATAATTACTTTGCATTTACAAATATGGCTTGCTTATAATTCTTTTTTAGCATTGTAACTTGTACTACTTATAAAAAGAAGGGAGAAACTGGAGTGTAGAATACTTACTGAATCTAACATAATAAGTCAATAACTCTTTCCATGTTGACTTAAAGTATCTGCTTTCTAGTGTATTTAGTTCCTAATATACAATCTAAATTCACTGGAACTCTAGTATCTCAGGAAACAATTATGTCAGTTAGAAAGTTATGGAATGGAATGTCAAATAAAGGATTTGATCCTTTTTCCCATGCTAAATTGACTTTATGAGAAACCCAGCTTTAAAAATTTGGGAAAAGATGGTGATATGGAAAAAATGGATGGAAACAGGTAAATGAACCAATTGATAGATGATAATGATTTTTTAACATACACTGTATTACAAGAAATATATATCAGATGTAACCCAATGGCAATATTTACATATTTACAGTTACTTACAGTTATAATATTTGTTAATAACATTGCTAGCATTTCCATCTGAGATATTAGAACAAGTAGTTAAATCCTTCAGCATCCCCCCCCCTCTCTCTCACACACACATCAATAAATCAAATTGCTATGTATATGCTAAGCAATGAGTGGAATAAAAAATTAGATTTATGCAATTATATATTGCATAAATAATGGGAGAATGTCTTAACTTCTACAGCAACAATGCCAACAGTGTCTCTAATTATGACTTATACAACAAAAATATTTAGAACTTACTGGACTCCATTATGTTTGAACTAAAAAAAGATTGTCTAAGACAGCGTAAGATAATAAAATAATGCTTCTTTACTCTGTTTTTATACAATGTCCTATACTTAGCAAGTTTTGGGAGAATGAATGGACTATAAATATGACTATATGTCAAAAGCTAAAATTTTCAGAGAATTTTGACAACATAAATGGATTCTCTGTGTCCTTACTATGGATGAAAAACTTATGCTGCAATATATGAAAAATAAATGTATGGCTCCATTCACTCAACGCATTGAAGAACTGACTGTGCTTACTACTTATGAGCAGATTGCCTACAGACCTAAATTTCGTATGGACAGCTATAATGAAACATGAAAGTCTGGGGTGTTTTTCTAGATCTAGCATATTTCTGCTTTCATCTTATTCTATTTATACCTTAAAGAGAATTTGCAGAACTAAAACTTTTTACATTTCTGTAATTCTACAAAGCCTCACCTCATCCTCTTCTGAATGAGATTTATCCTCCTCCTCTTGACTTCTATCAGCAGTATCATTTTCTTCTTCATCATCTTCACCACCTTCATATTCCAAGAGACAGTGAATAATTATTCAATGTAGTACAGTAAGGAAAAAAAAGATAGCAAGGCCAGTTTGATACAGTGATTAAACCACTAGGCTAGAAACCAAGAAACGTGAGTTCTAGTTCCGCCTTAGACACAAAACCATCCAATGCCTTAGGTCAGTTACTCTTTACAAGCCCTAGAAAAGAGGCAATGGCAAACTACTTCCAAAATCTTGCCAAGAAAACTGCAAGGACTTGTACAGGCAGTTTCCACAGTCAACTCTGAGTCAAGGGCACGCATACAAAAAAGATGATTCTTTTAATGTATATCGTAATAAAGTCTGTCAACTAGCAAATCACATTATTCGATCTGACACTCATATTAAACGAATTTTGTAACTAGTCTTAATCAACCTTTTTTCATTTTGTATTTGGGTTATAATGAAACCTGGAAGTAATCTGAAATGGGTATTTATAAGATGAATAGGGCAAACTGAGTGCATTTCCACCCCTCCTTTTATAATGCTGATGACATTATGATGGCTGTGGATAGGAGCAGTCCTTCCCTCTCCCTCTTGTTATGCTTCCTCCTGCCAAGGAACACTGAAGAGATTTGTTTTACTTTTTTCTCCTTGTTTTATACTTCCACCTAGAAAAAACATAGTTTGATCCATATTCAGAGTAGCTCCACATTATTTCATATACAGGGCAGAACAACTATTCCAGATGGAATGCATGGAGTAGTTCATATACAGAACATTTTAATACCTTCAAACCACCACATTTGAAATGAAGTAGTGCCTTCCGGCTATATAGGGATTATGGATTTTATTGAGGAACTCTGGATGTGTATAAATAACAATAGCACTTAAGACTTATATACCACTTTGCAGTGCTTTACAGCCCCCTCTAAGCAATTTACAGAGCCAGCATATTGCCACCAACAATCTCTCATTTTACCAACCTCAGAAGGATGGAAGGCTGAACTTTCCAAATAAAAGGGTGATATAGAATATATATAATAAGTACAGAATATTTAACAATGGTTTGCCAGCTTGGAATATGTTTCAAGTGGTCAGCAACTAATGTAAACTATGATTTTGCTGGTTTATCACAGTTTCAAATAAATATTGTCAAAATCTCTTACCTCCCTCATCAATATTTTCATTTGTTTTTTTAATTTCATCCTTTTCTGATATCTCTTGTTCTAGTTCTCCTTTTGTAATTGGCTTAGCTAAATCAGTTTTTTTGTAGTCTATATCGTCATCCATTTTCTAAAATAGAAGGATTAAAATTATGTCTGGTTTTCAGACTTAATATTTTCAAAACATTACAAAACAATTGAATGTCTCATGCTTGCCAATTTCCTTTCCTTCTTTCTCCCACTATAATGTATTTCTAAACATATTTTGAGCCAAGAACAGATGAAGCAAATTATTGATTTTTATAATACAAAATAAGATAGCATACCTTGGATGGCCAGCAGAACAATATGCCCATTCCTATTGGTAGTGCCAGTGTTAAGATATAAATAATCCAAAGCCATGGGCGTTCTTCTGCAGCAGTCACCAACTGGCTAAACATACCAGGCTGAAAAAGCAAAGGGTGTGCACTTATTTTAGAGCTCAAGCTTCATGGAATTTTCTTTATCAAGCCATGCGCTATATCAATTATAAGTGTTAATATGAAAGAAACCTCTGAACATAAAGAAGCCACTATCTTAATTATGCTATATCTCAAATCAATAACAAAAATTGGTAGATCACATATCTCAGGGGTAGGGAAACTTGGCTCTTCTATCACTTATGAACTTCAACTTCCAGAGTGAGCCATAAAAGGTTCCCCATCCCTGGCCTACTGGTTTTTCAGTTGTGGAGGAAATCAATTTTTGACTTGAATGGGACTGTTTAATACACAAATGTATGAAATTTCTCCCAAAGTCATCCATTGGCATGAAGTCAGTTATATATTTAAAACACACACATACACACACTCACATGTGGCAGCTATATCTAAAGAGCTTTTGCACAGTAATAGCTTGTGCATCAATTGCAGCCATTCCCTGATTGAGAAGTCATGCTCACAATTATTTATGCTATAGTTCCCTCCAAGTCCTATATACAGTATTTGTGAATGCCATCTGAGGGGACTTAGGAAATGGGAATTTTCAATCACTGCTCAAATGCTTTGGAGCTCTATCCCTACAAAGATCTACCTCTTCACTTATGGGTCTTTAAGCATAGCATCAAAGAAATAGAGTACATAAATAAGAGATAGGAGGGCAAGGGAAATAAAACCTTTCACCACATTGAAATCTAAGCTTTTAGCATTAGAAACCTATTCAAGAAATGTTTGTCCTGAAATTATTTAACTACGATATCAGGGTTTCTTTTTCCTTCAAAAATATACAACACTCAATCTCTGAAGTTAGTTGATCAACTAGGTCTGTACTGATTAAATGGCATGGTGTAACTGGATTGTTCAAATGAGTCTTATTATATTCAAGTGATAGTTATTGATATTGTGAGTATATGTATAAATCAAACTAGACAAAAGATATGGCCATGGGGACAAGAAGTTGCCCAAGTCTCAGTAAATTTGTTTACTATGTTAAAGAAATCTAATGGCATTTTAAGTGCCTTAATTGTATAAAAGTAAACAAAGCATAAAAGCAAGGTTGTAAGGCTAATATAATGAAACTCAAACTCAATATTTCTAAATATTTCTCATCCATGGGCAATCAGAATGATTAATTAGGAAATCATTATTAGTAAATGCATATAAAACATTGAGTATAATCAACATAATAAATAATATAAACATATAAAGAATGGTTGCTGGAATTGGGTATGTCTAATTTGATGAAAAGAAGGACTAGAGGTGATATGATAGCAGTGTTTCAATATCCCTGGGGCTGCCACAAAGAAGAGTAAGTCAAGCTATTCTCCAAAGCATCTGAGGGCAGGACCAGAAGCAGTGAAAACTAATCAAGGAGAGAAGCGACCTAGAACTAAGGAGAAATTTCCTGACAGAACAATTAATCAGTAGAGCAACTTGACTCCAGAAGTTGTAAATGCTCCAACACTGAATTTTTTAAAGAAGGGATTCTATAACCATTTGTCTGAAATGCTACAGGGTTTCCTGCCTGAGCAGGGGATTGGACTAGAACCTTTCCACGGTCCCTTCCAACTCTTGTTATTCTATTCTGTTCTGTTCTGTTCTATTCTATTCTATCATAATAAACATCATGTTACAAATTAAATATCATTGGAATTTTGAAATGTTATGCATTTCAGGGCACTTTTTTGGCAGAATTGTATTATTTGAGACAAAAATATAATAAATTCTTACTTCATTGGCACTTGCAATCAATTTTTTAAAGCCCCAGCCATCTGCTGCCCATCGATCAGCAACTTCCTTGTCTGAACAGATTATGAAGTTATCAAAGTAAATATTTGATGTCATAGACCAGAGTTCTAAACCCATAGCATCAACAGTAGTCATCTGAAAAGGATGAGCGTCTTCAAAATAATCAGGATTAGGAATTTTCTGAGGACTCCATATACCCTGTAAGAGAAAAATAATAGAATGCATATGAAATAAGATAAACATTTAATAACCTAATATGACAGAAGGTTAGCAACTGTTCAGAATATGAGGCTTCCCATTATTTTAGAGCAAATACTACAGATACAGATAAAACAAAGTATTTTTACATAATCCAGCCTCTGGTTCCTATTCATGGATTCAGTCTCTAGTATTTTATGGATCGGAAAAGAGGGCTTAGTACATCAATTTAAATAATATTAACCTGTCCCCATATTAGTAATGAAGCAATTAAAGCAATCCATCATAATCCCAACAAATTATATAGTAATCAACACAATATATAACAATTATTGCTTTTACCTGATAGTTAGGATTTTCTATCATTGGTGGTTTCCATTTTCCTTTATAGTTTGGATTGTTCATCATGGGGCGTACCCATACCCCACAACCAGGTGCAGCTTCACATTTTGGATTAGGAATCTGTGGAGCTTCCCACACCCCATCCATTTCTTCATCCCTGTAAAAAAGATAAATATATCAATAAAAAATTTTTTTAAGGATGGAACTATAAATAAGAAAACATGCCTTCTTTCCATTTGTTTAAATAGCTAAAGACAAAACTCAAAGGATAAAAAAGGTAAAGGTTTCCCCTGTCTAGTCATGTTCAACTCTAATTTGGGTGGTGCTCATCTCCATTTCTTAGCCTAGGGAGCCAGCATTATCCAAAGATATTTCTGTGGTCATGTGGCCAGCATGACCATATGTCAAGGGGCATGGAACATTGTTACCTTCCCACCAAAGTGATGCCTATTTATCTACTTGCATTTGCATGCTTTTGAACTGCTAGATGGGCAATTCAAAATATAATAATGATACATAAAATATGTCAGTTTCCTTTGGGTTGACATCTTGCAATCAGACTCTTGCATCCTGCTAGTGGTTTTAATGCTTTCACTTACTCATTACAGCAATATATTGAAAGAGAGAATGCAGATGTTTTTCACATATCTCTTTAAAAATTTTACTTCAGAAAAATGTACAGTGCAATTATTAAATGTTTCAATTACATGTGATCAATGAATCAACAAATCAAATGCTACAGATACAGGTTTAAGATCCAATCCTTGATAGATCAATTAAAATAATTTCTAATTACCATATACTCACATTATCAGTTTTAAGAAAGCTTGAAATCCCCATTTTTAATCCAAAATTTTCTAAGTTGATTTTAGAATCCTGCTTGATATTTTAAGTGGAATTATGGTTGACATTGAATTTTGGAGAAATATGCTAGCTTTCTATAGTACTGCTTTACGCCCATAAAATTAGGTAAAGAACATTTCAAGTAAATAAACAAACTCTTAACATTATCTAATGCACAATGCTGAGAACTAATGCTGTTTAATTGATGTATTAATTTTCACAGCTTAAAAGATTCAATTTTCAGTTTCTGAACTAAACTTACTAATCGTTTTTTATATAAATACACTATAAAGCAACAAAAGCCAGCCAATAAAGCAAAAGATAAACACAATTTAAAAAGCTTACAGAGTCATAAATAAAAGAGTGTCTTCAATATAATTCATTACAGGCATCAGAATCTAGTAATAATTTCCAGAATGACAGACACACTTACCAATCTTCTGGTTTTTCTGCATTTGGATCTGGAATGTATTCAGGTTCATTATCAAGCCATCCTTCAGGTTTAACTGCATCAGGATCTTCTATTTTTGGAGGCTCATCTTCATTCCTTAAAATTACAAACCAGTTTTATCACAAAATACATAGAAGAGCAGCAAGATATATTACTATTATGAATACATTTATTCCTCCAGAAAAAAGGTATGTATATGAAGCATATTTTTGATATTTGCATAATATTTATATGTTTTAAGATCTTTTATTATTGAAGTGAATCAAAATAATACTGCTACACAAATATTACAACTGCAAATCTGCATGTGGATGAACACTTCAAAGATTAACAGTGTTATTGAAGAATGTTAATCTAGGCTTGCTTTCTTTTGCTAAAAAGTACTAACAATTATGACCAACAATTATGATAACTAGAGAATAGTATTTGTGAGCATAACTGCTGATGACTATGGCGTTTATAATATTGCGGTAGGTAGGTAGGAAGGAGGGCTAAAAATCCACTTATATGTAAATGAGAGACAGTAGAAAAGGATCAAAAAGGGGGAGGGAGGAGTTATATATTCTCTTTACCAGTCATCTGGCTTTACAGCATCAGGATCAGGTATTTTAGCTCTCTCATCCCAGTCTTCAGGCTTCTTATCATTAGGATCTTCTATCTCTTTTGGTGGATTTACAGGTGGAATCATGTCTTCTAGGAGATTTCCCTTGCTGACAACTGCTTGGTCAATTAATACTTCAAAAGTATTATCAGGTTTCAGCACTAAAATGTAATAAGTTAATATATTAAATGAAGGAGAAATTATAAACATATTTTTCATAATTCGTAAATATTTACTAGAAATTGTTCCAGTTTATGGTTTTCAATGTTTGTACCATATAATCAACCTGAAAATTATGCAAGTTCTGAATACTGATTTTTTTAAATTGAGCATATTGCCTGAATATTTATTTACACAGATTCATTGTAATAAGAATATATTTCCAAATGAATTTGCTTAAAACAAATTTAATCTGAAATTGCTGCTTTAACTATATGTGATTATACAAAAGTATTATTGAAATATATTTCATATTTGTATTAAATAATAATTTTTCATTTCAAAACTGCCATCTTTGTTGTTTTCAAACATATTGCTTCCAATTTTATTATACTTTAAAAGCACAACACTAAACCCCATGCAGTACATTTTATCCCTTTTTTTCAGAAATTATAACATATTATGTCAATGCACCTTATTCTATATGAAAAATTCTTAGGATTCCATTTTATTTAAAAAAAGCAAACAAATTCATATACTTAATAGATATAATCCTCAAAACTTCTCACTTCCTATTAAACTGTCATCTTGCATAATAAAATGTAAAGACCCATTTATGGTCAATTATCTGAAAATAAAATGATTTATGGTTAATATCCAGATGCACTTGGGATAAGCTTCAGTTTAAAAAGTAATAATTATTCTATGCAGAAACATCAATTAATTTGAGGGGAAAAACAATACGGGATTAATGCTGGTGAATAAACAACCAACTTTCCTAAAGATTTTTACCAACTTGAAACATAATTGAGAATTAAAGGAATTGTAATCCAAGAAATCTGTAGGGCATCAGATTGAATAAATCAATGGTTTAGATTTTAATCCATATAAAAGCCCTAATCTACAAAACAAATTTAAGTAGAAATTGTAGGCTTCTGGCACTCTGAACTGGAATATCCTTTTATTTGCAAAATTCCAATACCTGTGAGTTCTGTCGAGGGAACATGAGCCCCACTGCTTTCATTAGTAACTGTAAGAAAACATATCTTCAAGTATAAGAATTCCTCTAATTTTCATTATAAAACTGAGGTAAGGAAGTATCTAAAAGTTCCCAATTTTCAGTTGCTTTCCTTTATACATACCTGCTTCTATATATCATTAAGTGTAAAAAATAGGTTTTCTCTAAAGTTTTTGTCCTATTCTTCAAACATTTATAGGATAGCAATATTAAACTGTTGCCACAGAAACTGGATTTCCCAGAATGACCAAAAGAATTTTTTTTTAAATGCAGAACATATTCATGTGTTTTAAATATAGGCTTGTAAGTATAGTAAGTTATAAATATACATTATACATTATAGTAAGTTATAAATATACATTATAACACAAGTATTTCAATTCTATCTTATTTTTCTAAATTTAAAAATGCAAAAAAATACCAAGGGTATATAGATGGGTCTTCCTGTCAGTATAAATTTTTTTCAGATCTACATCAGGTCGCTTGGCGTGCTTTTCCTCATAATCTCCAGTCTTAGGATGTTTATGTCTGAAGATAAAGTGTAGTTTATAGTCTTCTCCACATTTATCTGGCCCAAACATAATTGTGTATGATGTTTTATCATAGAAATATTCCTGTAGGATAAAAATGAACACAATATTTTGTTTGTAAGAAAAATATTCTGCAACAAAAAACACTGGCACTAATTAGAGCTTGATAGCTCCTTATTTTAAATGATATTTAAAAGAATGTTTTTAGAAATAAGTAGCATTTATTTAGTTGTGATTCATAACAACAAAATAGAAAAAACTATAATTGATAATCCATGTTCAGGATGAGACCTAAAAAGATAATTATTTGACCTTCTGCGCTTGCAGTTACACAGGAATTTTCTCCTGATAACCTTCCTCTTCTATAAACAGGATTCTTGGACGAAAAAAAAATGTGGCTGAAAAACAGCCAAATGTATATAGCAGCAAGCAGAAAATAATAATTTGATCTGGTTCTAGAGTTTTAAAACTAACCTTCCAATGAAGGCTTCCAAGGCTCATTGTGTGAGCATAACAACTCACTCAAAAATGAATAAAACAAGATCAAGGTTCTAGTGGGAGAAGACTCTGGTAAAACTAAAAATGAGTCTGAAAATGGATTGGGGCAGAGAACATAGGCTACCAAAAATTAGATTCCCCCAGTGCCTCCATTCAAAAGGGGAAGCTGACCAACATCTTGGAATGTTGGTGAATGCTTCATTCTAAGTCCCCTTCTTCCCAGTTCCATGACCCAGAGGAGAACAAAGAGAACTCGTTTTGTGCTTCCTAATGCAGCAGTTCCCAACCTTCCCGACTTTATAAATCGACGAGGGAGGAGAGGGGTTGGTTTCACGCAAATGGCAGGCAAGCGCACATGCTTGCCCACTGCGTGCAAGTGGAGCTACACACGTGTGCTCGCCCATCATTTTCACAGTCCAATTCTGAACGGGCCGCAACCAGGGGTTGGGGACCACTGTTCTAATGCACATATACATTCAGGGATGCAATACAAGTACTGTACCTAAACATAGAGAAGCCATGGGTTACATTATTACCCAGAAAAAAACACATGCCTCTCCTTTATGGCCACTTCTGATAAAATACTGGAAAGAATTTCAGAAGCCACAGAAGATCCTTTGTCCTTCCTCCATCCAGGTTTGAAAGTATAGGCCAGATCAGCCCTCTCATCCATAATCAAATCAAGGATGAGTAAGGTTTTAGTACAGACAGACCCTTTTCTTGTTATAATTATATAACATATCAATAATATATAGCAATTAATTTAAATATTTATATATTAATGGATTAAAATTAGAGTTCCTGTATTTTCAAATCCTAACTCAAATTCTGGAATAAATTAACTAAAAATAAGTTTTAGTTAACAACAGATTATTTGAACCTATCTTTGAAATTCACTAATCTTCAGCCAATGAAAATATTTCACCTTAATTATCCTTGTAGAACTATTACAATAATGAAATTGGGATAGGCAAGAACAACTACCTACACTTAACTTCTTGGGACACAGGCGGGATATGTTAGATTACTATTTTTCATTTTATTGTGATTTTTTAATATACCAGATGAAAAGGCTCTGAATCTTTTTACATACAATTTCAAACCTGCTGATTGGTATCATTTTATCTTTTCAGATTGAATTTAGTTTAGTTTTCTGTATTTGTATTCCAGTTTTATTTTTCTTTACAAACTACTAAGATTTTGACTGAAGAATGAGAAAAAAAATAGCCATAAGCAACAAACTTTCCAATTAATGAAATGTATGTTAGTGTATGCTGGCTAGTGTATGCTGGTTTACTAAAAAAAAAACTGAAGTATGTAAATTATCTATCATAGGAAGTGGTGCGTATTTGTATGTGAACCTCAGTAATAAAAATGGATTATAAGTACTGAAAGTTTGGAACGTCTCCTTCCAAATACTGCAACATGACTGATCAAATAATCTTTTGCAGTTATTACGTACCAGATCCAAATCGTCACTTTTGGATAGAAGTTTAACATATGCACCACCACAATCAATGCCATCCTGAAAGTTCACTTCATATCTGCATAACAGAAACACATTAATACTCTTTTGCAGATAAATATTAATTAAGTTTCTTTAGCTACCAGTTCCCAGTTACTTTAGGCACTGTGTCATGCAGTTTTTAGCATCAGTTAGTACCTGTTTTTCTCCCTGTGATTGACCTAAAACATTTTTAATTTCTTTTGAACATTTAAAGTTACATATTAATCTTGTATTCTTTTTATACCAAAAATAATTATAGTGCATTTTGAAAACCAGATGCTAGAAGTAGAAGGGCATTAATATTATTATTATTTTTATTATTAATATTATTATGTTTCATTGCACATTAGATGTTTAAACTGGATTTGGCAATTTTATCCACCTATAGAATCCTTCTCACGGATCTGAGATAGGCAGATGTTGTTTGGAAGGCAGGTATTGTTGCAGGATATATTATTATTATGGTTGGTTGCATAATCAAGTCAGATAATTAGACTGGATTTGGCATATTTATCCACCTATCGAGTGTTGTGGTTATTATTATCATTATTTCACATGTAAACATATACTTACTGAACAATTAGTGGTGTGCTATCAAAAATAAATGGCTTTGTTAACATCGTTGATATTGCATGATGTTTTGCTACTGATTTTAGTACCAATCCTCTGTCACCAGGCACCATGTTTTCTTTTAATGGTTCTATTTCCCATCTTCCTAAGTGAGATAATACACAAGAGAAAAGCAAAAAAGTAAAATTTTACAAACACAACTATGAGAAGAAATCTGTCTGTCATCTATCATAAAAATAAAAAATAAACGGCAAATACAAATACAAATACAAAAATGTGCCATCAACCCACCAACTAGACAAAGAGCACCTTTCTTCTCTGAAAAATGGAAGAGATAAGTCATCAAAGCCTTCCAGAATCCAAAACAGTATAAGTTGATTAGAGATCTGCCCATGATTAGGGCCAAAATTCCATGTCTCTTATATTCAAATTAAGTTACATTTGTTCCAAGATAAAAGCCAGATCTTGTGTATGATCTCCCACATGTGCCAGATCGTAAGTAAATTGAGCCAAATCATGGCAGCCATAAACCTAGGGCTATTTCAGACATCCAACCAAGGGGAGGAAAGATTAAGACTCCCAATACTGCCACCTTAGCAATCAGACTGAGCGGCCTTGGCAGAAATGCCACAATGCACTAGGGGCAACAGTATACAAACAGTCAACCCAACTAGTCCTTCTAGTCCCAATTTACAAATAAGGATGTGCATTCAGTAATGCCTCTTGATGCCAACATAATCTCACGTATGACAAAAAGAATATCTCAGAACTTCCTGATCTTCATTTGAAATCTGGATGGGCACATTTATGACAAAGATCCTTTGTCCTTCCTCCATCCAGGTTTGAAAGTATAGGCCAGATCAGCCCTCTCATCCATAATCAAATCAAGGATGAGTAAGGTTTTAGTACAGACAGACCCAGTATTAAATAGCAATTCTTGGATTCTAAATCACCTAGAACCTCGTTCCCCAGTATGAAGAATGAGAACTGGAAAGGAGGAAATCATACAAAGATGTCAAACCCACTTACCCTAAATGCAGCCCATTCACTCTGTTCTGAAATATTTAACTTAGTTTATCACAACCAAGCACCATTTTCTACTTCTGGAGAAGCAATGTTAGACTTAAGGTGACTGCAGAGCAAAGCCAATGGCTGCAGCAGAAAGAGGGGTTAGTGGAAGGATTGGTTCCTCAGAATTCTTCTTCAGAGCAAGAATGGGCTGGGATTATCCACAAGTACAGAGGCTGTCCATGAGGAAACTGTAAGACAGCAATCTTCAATGGGTTTTACTGCTCTAGGAGATGGGGGGGGGGAATCTCATCTAAGTCACAGATCAGCATCTTTAAAAAAAAAACACTGAGTTCACCTACTTCCTCTCTTAACCACCTTAGGAAATTGCTTATTAATGGCTTTTTCAAAGTTAAGAAACTTGAGAAAAGGCAGGTTTCATTACAACCAGGTGAATTTCCTTCTATCCTTGATGAAAAAAGTTTCATGCTCATTTAAGGACTTTAAAAATAAAAAAATGAATTAACATCAAAATAATGGAATAGAATGTTGATTTTGGAAAGTTATAAATAGATTAATGGGACAGATAGATTAAAGACTGCAAAAATCCTATGGGTTGTTCAACTTTTTACAAAAATATATGAAAATTTTGAAACTAACTATAAAAAATCCGCCCATGGGAAAGTGTTGATTCAAAAAAAAAAAAAAAACATGATAAGAGGGAACATTGAAGATGGACTAGAGGAAATCAGACAGGACTAAAGATTACAATTAAAAGAAAGGCAACCTATTAATACAATGCAGCAATATTATTTGACTGTGGAAGAATTCAAGGATATTTGGAGAAAATGCACTAAGAAATTACTCTTTGTTTGCTACTACAAAAATAGATTTAAAAGAGGCTACAGAAGAGGTGCAGATTTTATTGGACAAAATGCAGACCGGGGCTGATTTCAACAGGGATTTGAAAAGAGATTTTAAAATGCCAGACTACAAGAATGATACAGAAAAAGATGTCACACCGAATTTGCAAAAGAAATTGGCCAATATCTTACAATAATTAAAGGGAACATACAGTACATAGGAATAATAATAATAAATTAGAAGAGTAACTTGGATAGCTTTCTTATGTTGGAATTACAAAAGAGGCATGCTAAACCACAGTGAAGGAATTTCTGAGTGGAGACAAAATGCATTATCAGAAGGAACTGTTTTTGCTTTTAATCTTCTTGCTATCTTCTTGTGAGCCCAAAAGTATACTATTATGATAAAATGATTGAGAAAACCTAGAAGTACTACAAGTACAACCTGCCATAGTGCAATTTGTATGGAATTTTAATTAACAATATAAGAAAGAATATACATGAGAAGTACTAGAAGTTGAAACAAAAATATCCAATTAAACTTGCACAAAGCAATAATTCATCAATAATACTAAGTTTATGTCTTACCATCATACTTTGCAATGTTTTCATCTGTGTCCTCCTTTTTGGTCTGAGATAAAATCCAACTGTTTAAAATAACAACAACACAACCAGATCATACATATTCCTGGAGGTTCAGACTGTCACTTGCCACACATTTAAAGTTTGGTCTGACTATATATGGGTAAATTTGAAATGACCTAATTCTGAGGTGCTAGGAAAGTTTATATCAATTCAGATTATAACATTGAGGGCAGGGAGAGTAAATGTTTCTCCTTAACACAAAAGGTAACCTGTAAAAAGTAAAAACTATTAATGAGAATTAAACTGAAATTGTACTCTGATCACACAATAACTAGTTTTCAGAGATGATTAAAATTATTTCAATGCATAAAACAATAAAAACTGCAATATGCATTAAGGATAAAATAATAAAAAATAGAAATTATCCACAAGCAACCATTCCAACTAGCTACAGTAGAGGGAGATATAGGTCACAGGTTTCACTTTCCTAGATTGGCAAAAGACCAAGTGCTTTTTAATTCCTTCTATTCCTGAACTACTTCTATTCAAACTGCAATTATAAAAAAAAAATAGAAATCTTAAGAGCTAGTCAGTGACTTATTTCTTTTCATTTTTCCAAATTTCAATTTGTTCAGCATTGGGTATCTTATACACTAAAACATGATGTGACTGATTTTTAAATGTCCCCATATCTAATTTTCAGATAGAATTATAAATAATCAACATAAAATCATAGGATCATTCACAGAGATGTAGATCCTGGCATAGCACTAGAATAAAACTATCATATTCTTCTAAATCAGGCGTGTCAAACTCATGTAGTCACAGCGGCGTCACGTGACATATCAGGACTTTCTTCCCCTTCGCTAAACCTGGCATGGTCGTTGACAGCCCTGTTCTAAATTATATTCTTCTAGTTTTACAGCTGATTTTTAAAATGGAAACTTCTGGGCTCACTCAAAAAGCTAAATTTTAGATTTCTTTGCCTTTTTTTCCTTAAATTAATACTATATTATTTATCAGTGTATATAAAGTCTTATGGATTCTGAGAATAGTATAGCTCCCATAAATAGGAGCTTCTCTTCTTTTTGGATTCTAATGTTTTTCCTTGAGAGGAAGGAAATACAAAAATATTTCTACAGCTTTCTGACCTTTTTAAAACACAAGGACTTTCCTAATGTATTCTTCTAAATAGCGGTTTTTCATGACGGTTATTATAAATGGTAAAACTACATGTTTAAATTTGAACAAGAATAGCTTTGAAGAAAGTTATGTTTATATAGCTCCAAGTTTCATGTCATAACTCTATAAAAAGGTGTAGATTTAGAGAATGATTGGTGTTATTATTATTCCATTATTATTTGATTCTTAAATAATAGTAGAAGAAAAAATGTTTATTATAACTGAAAGTAGGTAGTTCATATGCAATCCATTTTAAAATGCTTTTTATATATCAGATATCTACAAAGTAAAAATAAATAAACCTAATACAATTATTTCAGTGTATATTACCAGTCTGCATAGTTTTATCATAGTTGATAAATGTTATAAATAAAAATAATAAGTTAATAAACAAACAAAAACAGTTTAAATCAAATGTGATACAATAATCCTTAGGAGCTTATGCTCCTGGTACTTGTTTTATTATTGTTAATGATAAATTATTAAATAAATAAATAAATTCCAATTTTTCATAACCCAATTGTAATTTTGTCAGAATTGTTTATCAGTAACTACTTGAGTTCTTGTAAATTTATGCTTGCATCACTAGTGGCAGTATCTAGCTACAATATCTTCAGTTAGCTTCTTTTTTGATTGCCTGTGATTTTTTTTTTCTAGAATCAGAGTCCGATCCAGTGAGACTATTTTAAATTGCCCCAAATAGTTAAGCTTCAGCTTCATTATTAGTGATTCCAATGAGCAGTGAACTAACATTAGCTGATTTGCTTTTTTTGGGGGGTGGGGTGGGGGGTGGGGTCCAATATAATTGCTATTTTCTCCAGCTCCACAATTCAGAGCCCTGGATTTCTCCTTGTTCTGCCTTTCTGGTGATCCAGCTTTTCCAGCCATATATTCAGCTGGAAAAACCAAAATCCTGATGATACATACCTTTGTCAGTGTCTTTGCACTTTTAATATTTTATCTTGTCATAGCCCCTTTTCTTCATGGCTGCAATAGCTATTCCTAAAAAGACAAAATCTGGCACTACTTTAATTTTTCCACCTATTTGTATTGGGCTGAGAATGAAATATATATATTTTAATATCAAACAGCAGACTGGCTTTTTCACTCTCTTCTTCCACCTTTAACAAGGCATTCCTTAAGCTTTCTTCACTTTTACTTATTGAAATTGTAACATAATCTTACTTTATCTGCAGGTTGTAGAGATTTCTCCTAGCAATTTTAATTCCAATTTCTTCTAACCCAGCATTAAATACTATACAAAGTTAATACCATGGGCATTTTCAGGAGCTTGCTATGTTTATTATTCTGTCCATCCTAGCAGACATTGGTGTTTAATTTATTTTTCCAAATCTGAATCATATATTTGTTCTGTATTCTGTTTTAAATATTGCTTCTGATCAGTTTATAAATTCTTCAATAGGCAGATGGGTCAATCCAGTACAATATACTGCAGTCTGAAGTCAAAAACTTTGCATAACCAATAAAGCAAAAATGTTTTTTAAAAATATACTTGTAATTTCCATTATCACCAGATATTAACGATCTGATTTCAGGTGCCTTTGCATCTCCTGAATTTAGGTTTGATTGAATTTGGTATCTGATAAACTGATATTTTCTGGATCCTTGACCACTGTTGTCATACATATTTCTGAAATACATGTAGTGCTTGAACTGCATTATCTTATAGGTTTCTAAACAGTTTGGTGGTAAATTCATCAATTCCTACAGCTTTGTGATTAGCAATATTTTCTAGTACCTATTTAACTTTACTTTCTAGAATGTCTGCACTAATTCAACGATCAAGTCTTCATATGTATCATTAATTTGGGAATTTTTTATGAGCCTATTAGTTTTTCATATATTCTCAACATTTCTTTACATACTTTTCTCCTTTCCCTTCCTTATGCTTATCTTTGAATGGATGTTTTTCTTAATTTTTGAAATTTTAAAAAATAAACCTTTTTATCCTTCCCATTTTATTATTATCTTGATTTTTTTTTGCAATTATTTATATTTATCTCCTGTTTCTTCTTGCACTTCTTTGGACAAGTATCCTCTCTATTTTGCTTTTCATCCTTCTGTGTTTATTCTACTAGAAAACTAATGATGTAATGAATGATGTAATTAATTTCAGCTTAGAGATTATCAAATCAAATATATTCTCTCCTTGTGTTGCATAATTAATTATAGGGAATATTGCCAAGATCATCTTTTTTTAACAATTTTGTTTCCCTTAAGTGTAATCCCAATTTGAAATAATTAAATACTGTAAAATAAAGAAACATATAAGAAACACTTAGAGAGAACTGTCACAAAGAAAAGGAAGCAGTGCCTACCATGATTGCTAGTTAAGGGCTTTAGGGCATTAGAAATGAAATTGACTAGTTATTGTGTTAACTAATATAAGGAAACAGTGATAAAAGTATAAATTATTATCATCATCATCATCTTTGGGATAATGCAATGATGAAAAGAGCTGTTCAATTTTATGATAAAAAATTTAGAATACAATGAATGACTACCACTCCTCTCTTTTCTTCTTCCTCAAATGAACAGAGCTCTCCTTCCTCTCTGCCTTAGCAACTCGCATTAAAAATGAAGATGATGGATATGAGAAACTTGTGGAACTAAGAAACAATGGAAAAAGGCAAACACTGGAAGGGAAATGACTTCCATGGAGGCTGGCTAGCATCAGAAAGGGAATGTGTCTGTGCCCCTCAAATCACCCCAAACATGTCTTTGATAACACTCATTACCAGTCAATTGACTTTGCTTCCAAAGTAATAGATGGCTTTTTTTACAGGCTGGAGGCTGTCCTTGGGCAATGTTAAAAAATGACATTTTTAAATTTTAATTTAATTTTATTTTTTTAATATTTTTATATTAACATAGCTTATGACAACTTGTCAGAGATGAGGACAATGTAACGATGCCAAGGGAAAAAACTGGTGAAAGGGGAAAGAAGCCAAGGGGAAAGATTTAATTGTGCTGTAGGGAATAGGCTTAAGAAGCATCCTAGTTTCATTTATCTTCATATTTTTATTTACTCAAAAACTCGCTCCAAAACACGTGAGCAAGATGTAACTAGTTATAAGCAGCAAGCTGTAAACTATCCATCTAAACTGCAAATATTGATGACTTTAGGGCTTTTGTTGAGAAGCACTTACCCGGACAATATTGCGTCATCAAAGGTTTCAGTAAAGTATACTTCTCCTATAGGCTCTGGTGTTTTGTATACAACCTACCAAAAATTTATAAAAATTATAACAAGAATGAGAATTAGCACCTACAAATGAATACATTAAAAGTGCTAAAAGAAAATTAAATATCTGTGCATTATCAATCAAGAACTTCATTCCAAGTTGAAAACAAAGCATTTTCTCTCTGGCTTTTTTTCCATCGGGGAGAAATTCATGTAAGATGTTCAACAGTGATAGGTTGTTTTTAGTTTGGTTTTTTATATACGCAGAGTTGGTTGCATTTACCACTATGGACTCAAACAATTACAATCTAAGTTCTACATTTCTAATTTATTTATAATTGACCTTTATATTCCAGAGCAAATCAAAAGTTTAATGACTAAAGTATCCTAAATTTATGGAGCAAATTAGTTCTTTGATATTTCAGAAGCTAATTTATTATGTATGAGCTTTCAGAGGAACTTTAATCATTAAAACTACACAAGGCAAAAGCAGCAGATGTGAAATAGCAATATATCAAGTTTGAATTATTTTGAGATAAAAATATTCAATAGGTACCAAATACATTTACTGCACACCCTTTTTACCAGTTCAGTGAGATTTTACATTCTTCTGAAAAATACAAATACTAATTGATACTGTTTCTCGTTTCATAATAAGTATTGTTAAGTGTAAGTTAAATTTACCAAAATCTAGGAATATGTATCGATGGATGCTTTCCAAGTGTGGGATGTGGAAAATATAAGCAGCCACCTACTGTTTCTTAACCAATCATGCTTAATTTAAAAAACCCCACAAGATGGATCTGGCTTTAGATTCAATTTATGAATCTAAATCAGATGTGTAGCTTATTGTAGATAAAACAATAAAATATACATCATATGATTTAGATTCATAAATTGATTCATTGATTTATACACAGCATAATTTTTCATCTCAGGACTCTGTGAAGCTAAAGCATCATTAGTAATAGGTCCACTGGGTTAAAAACAGGACAACATTATAGGCCTGTCACAAGAGAATGCATATAAAAGCAAAAGAATCAAGAAAACCTCCTATTATAAGGCAAAGTTTATGACATTCTATGGCACCAAAATAAATTTAAAAAGAAGTAATGTGTTATGTTTGAATAAACTTCCAGGAATTTATAATATTCTTGTTATTATTTCTAAAAGTCATAATAAATTGAACACTAAAATTTACAGTCAAGTAGCTATAATTTTAATTTTTAATTTATACATGAAAATGTTACCTCCATAGAAGATCTGCCTGTCTCAGTATTAGTGTCTTCTGAACTTTGGTCAAAATTTTCTACTTCAACTTCTGGATCTTCAGATTCTGCACTTACTGAACTTAATAGTAAGAGACTTAGACATAACAAATCCCACTGACGTTGCATTCTGACCACCTGTAAAATGGAATTATGACAAATGTATTATTTAAAAGTCAGGTGTTTAATGATTAAGATAAACCAAACAAGCTGCAATATGAACCTAGACATAAGGAAAGAAGTATTTCATAACCCAAACTCCAATTGCTTTATTTTCTTATTAGAAAAATTGTAATTTCTTATATAGCAATAAGATATAACATACATACCGCTTCACAGTGCTTTACAGCCCTCTCTAGCAGTTTACAGAGTCAGCATATTGCCCCCAACAATCTGGGTCCTTATTTTACTGACCTTGGAAGGATGGAAGGCTGAGTCAACCTTGAGCTGGTCAGGATCAAACTGCCAAACTGCAGACAGCTGGCAATCAGCAGAATAAGCATGCAGTACTGCATTCTAACCACTGCACCACGGTTCTTAAAAATATACCCATTCTTACTGTAATACAACTTCCCCCACCAACATTCTTATTCTCCAAATAATTTTAATTGTATCCAAGTTTAACTGTCATCCATATATATCACATGCTAGAGTCCCTGCCATTGATCACAGAATATTTGTATGTGAATCTAATTCACTATTACCCTGGCAATGAGATATTTAGATTTGTCTACATATGTATGTATGTATATATGTATGTATGCATACACACACACACACACACACACACACACACACACGAGTATATATATTTTATTATGTGGAGGATGAAAACAGACTGGAAAAATAAGGAAACTCTTCCAAGCTCTATGAACTATGATAAATTCAGAAATGGTATAATGGAAAGGGTACTATATACTGAAATTTTGTACAATAAAGATATCAAGATCAAATATACCTCGGAAGATTCTTCCTACTTAAAATACCCTCTACTACTAAAATATGAAATTAGGTCAACAATGTGGTCATTATCAAATCAGAAGGCTAGAGGAATTGATGTAATATGGCAAGCAATTACAGAAGAATCTGAGAAGATTCTAATCAAACTATGCCAACAAATCTAAAGAACTGCCAACAAACTAGAAGTAGTCAAAGAAATATCGGAGAAAGATATGTTAAAAAATATGTAAATCATTAAACAATATCCTTAATTTCACATGAAAGAAAACAATATTTAGGATAATTCAATGCAGATTATAGCTGTATATGGGAGATGCCAGATGTTCAATATGACTTTAGATGAGTCCAGAGAACATGATACTTCACTGCTCATGCAACTGGATAATTTAGAAAACCAAAAAGAAAACAGTACATGCTTCCTTGGTTATACAGGTAGTATAGCACAATTGGGATCTGAATTTCTGTTGTTAAGCAAGGCAGCTCTTAAGGGAGTCATGTCAGATTTTAAGAGCAGTCTGGTCAATCTGTCCTCATTTTGATTGTAGAAAGCAAAAATATCCCAAGTGAATACAAGCTAGCTCTACAAAACTAAAAAGGATGAAAAATATAATTTTAAAAAAATAGCATTAGAACTAATTTTATTGTTCAATATATTCAGAAATAAATTCTCTGGTACCGGTACTATTATTTCCAGGTAAATGTGATAGAAAACTGGAAACGATATTAATAATAGGAGGGGTGGAGAGGATATAAAATGTATGTAAAAATAAAAATAGACCTAGCCACATATCAAAAACTAAAGCCCCCCCCCTTTTTTTGTAACATTTACCAAGTTAAATCAAGTTTAAGGCAATTCCAGATGGTTGGCCTTCCACTGCCCTTGACTTCTACAATTAAAATGAGGACGGATTGCCCAGACTGCTCTGATTTCCAAATAGGTAAATATACCAAGAATTAATGGGAGGGAACATGCTTGTGAATCTACAGCATCTACAGCATTTGTTAGAGACCTACAATTGATGAGCACTTGCTCTTCCTTGCCAACAACTGGTCACTGAGAACTTAACAGTGGATCTTTGTGGGCCAGCAACAGGTACATGTCTCAATCAGTGATTGCAGACATACTATATAATGGAGGAAAACACTGTTTATTTGACAGCAATACTTAGTATTTGAACATAAGATTTTTTTCATGAATGAAGGCAAATATATGTGTCCCAGGATAATGATGCGAGACTGAATTTCAATCGAATTTGGCCATGCAGGTACAAAGATAGTCAGGGAAATGATTGAAGCCTGGCAAACGGGCCCCTTGTCAGTTAACAGGAGTGCTGAATTACCACCAGCTTATCAAAACTTAGGATCTGAGGACTTGGCAGCACAAGAAAACAACAGCCAATTGCCAGCCATCAACACACCAATCAGCCAGTAGGAAGGCACCACATAAACACGACTCACAAAACAGCTCAAAACACATATTTCAGTAGAGAGAAATTCCCTGAAGATGGGCTCCACATGAGTCCGAAAACTCGGAAGAGTAAATCTCTGGTCCCGGTGACCAACCCAAATTTAAACTTGGATGAGACTTTTTTTTGGGCAGAACTACTGAGATAATCAGGTGTTTTTTTTAATAATGTAAAATACCAAGTCACAGCACTGGTAGACACTTGAATCAATCTGTATACCTAGGATCTGAATGCTGATCAGAAAACTGATATCTGGAAAATCAAATATTTTTTGCCAGTATATACTGTAAATGTTCAGTTTTTTTTCCACCAATTTTTAAAACAATCAGATGTGCACTCTAGAATGGGAAATGGGAAAACAAATCATAAAGAAGCAAGACTTATAGTACCTTAAAGAATTAAATGCAAATTAATTAATTAATTAGGCACATTCAAGCAAAGTACAAGAAACTAGCAAGAAATGTAACTCAGTAGAAAAAGACAAAGTCTAGCCTACCCTCAGCATTAGTTCAGTGGTAAATAAATGATTAACTAGAACAAACAATTTTTAATAACACTCAATTTTGATGATTTTATGAAAGTAGGTGACTCAGACTAAAAAAAAAAATAGAGATAAACCTTCTCTACTTTTTGCTGGTTCATATTTTGAGAATCAAGGTAATCCAAGAAGGGGTAAACATTATTTTCTCATCCACTGTAAAAATTGTCCAAAAGTAGATCATTATAGTCTAGACTATAGTACAAACTTTTAGACCAAGGGTCTTCAAACTTGGCAAGTTTAAGACTTGTGGACTTCAACTCCCAGAATTCCTGAGCTAACATGACTGGAGGAAGAATTCTGGGAGTTGAAGTCCACAAGTCTTAAAGCTGTCAAGTTTGAAGAGCCCCGTTTTAGAATATCCTGATGTTCCTAGTGCCTTCAATTTTTCATGGAGCCAAATCATTTTAAAATTACTATAATCATAACTAGTGATCTAATTAATTCATTAATCAAACAAATGCTTTCTTAAGATTATCAACTCCATTCTTTTACTGAATTTTGCTCTGCTAACTGCAAATTTCTAAACCAACATTGGCCCAAAAAGAAATACTTGGATTAGAAGATCACACATCTCCAAAGTTCTGTATCTTTTATACTGTAGTTCTATTCATAATCTTTATACTACTTTGCAATTCTGAAAACAGCACATACAGGTAGTCCTCACTTAATGACCCATCACTTAACGACTAGTTGAAATTATGAAAGCCTCAAAAAGAGTTTACTATCTATAAATCACTACGTCACAAAATGTCAGGTGCCCCCCCATGAGCATGTCATCACTATCGGCATGCTTGAAAGCATTACAAATGGTTGCCAAGCACCCTGTGATCATGTGATTGCCATTTACAATGTTCCCTGCTGGCCTCCCCAGAAAGTCAATGGGGAAACTGGTAGGATGTTGCAAACTACTGCTGGGGGCTGGATGAAAGAGGTTCCTGCTGTTTGTGCCTGCCTGAACCTTAGCAGCTGAAATTCAAGCATGCATGGAGCCCAAAATCCCTCTCTCCACCCTGCAAGGAGCTACACAGAGGCAGGAGAAAAGGACATCCACCTCCATGCCTGCTTGGATCTCAGCAGCTGAAATTCAAGCATGCCCAAAGCCCAAAACCTCTCTCTGCTTCCAGGAAAAGGACTCCCAGCTCTGTCTTTGCCTGAACTTCAGCAGCCAAATGCAAGCAAACATGGAGCCCCAAATCCTTCTAAAGGGCCTCTGTTCGCTTAATTATCTGTGGAATCATTTAATGATAGCAACAGGAAGTATACTGAGTGAAATAGCCATATGGGCATCTTGCTTGACTGCTTTGCTCAGAGACCAAGACTCTGATTCCAACGGCGGTCATTAAGCTAGGGCTACCTGTACACCTTGTCTTTGTTTTGTTCAAATCAAAAAATTGGCAAATACACATTTTCTATGCATGTCTAACAACTTCCTTATTTGACAAGAGTAAAGTAATAAAGCAACTGTTAATCTGCTAGCAGATGATGTGCTTATCTTTTAGGGATACTTGCTTTATATACTAACTTGCCTTATTCTATTATTGAGGTTTTAATTGAACACAACTGCAACTGCTTCTTTGCAAAGAAACACAGACAATATCAAGAAAGTCACATATCTGGAATACTTTGAAATTCATGTATTAAACAAAATTGTTTAAAATAATATGAGCATAGAGTAACAAATTCCCAACTACCTGTACACATTGTTCTGGGTTCAGCAAACAATAAAGACAAAGGGAGACTGGATAGAAATGTTATCTAAAAAAAAAAACCAGTAATCATGATCCCATTGACATGGATGGTATACAACTTCTATTTTATTTTTACTAATTCAGTAATACATACACCTCCACGCATCAAAAGAATTTTGTAAACATTGTGAAATACTAATTTATATGGCAAGAAACTGAAAGTGGGGGGCAGGAATACAGAATAGTTATGAATGGATGTTAGGTTTTTCTGAACCAGACTTACTGCACAATTAAAGAGCAATAGATCCTTACTCTTAACAGGTTTCGGGTGTATTTATTTTGCTGTATTCCTACCCAGGAGCTTGCTTCTCTCCTTTGTTTAGAATCGCAGCAATTCCATGTTTGCTCGATGATGATAAACAAACGAGCAGAAATGAGCCGATTAAGTACAATTAGCCACAACTTCTCCCGCCTAAGCTAGGTAATTATGGAGACCTCTGATCGTCGCGGTTCCAAAGCCGCTGCAGGGGCAGCAACAAACCGCTGCTACCCGGGCTCCTTCTCCTCGGATACGAGAGCTAATTGGTGTTGATCTCCGCATTTGCCCCCAGGGGGAACGGCTCTCCGCGGAGGCCGCTCGGTCTCCAGGGAAAAGCGCCTGGCGCCGCATCCTTTCGGAGCCACGGGGCGGACTAGGAGAGAGACAGGCTTCGGGCTAACTCCCGCACTACGTTCAACCTCTCTCCGTCCCGCCGGGGAAGCGGAGGCCGAGGAGAACGGATCCAGGTCGCGCCGAGTAACGGCAGAGTAACGGCTGCGCCCGAACGCGGCAAGAGTAGGAGAGACGGCGGGGGCGACCCCTTCCGCGCGCAGAGAGGAGCTTACGGGAGGGCAGCGCCCTCTCGCCGCCTTGCAGTTGCTGGCTCAGCCAACCTCATCCGCCGCCAAAACCCCGAACCGTCCTCGGGACGCCCCTCCCGGAGTGCCTAAGAAACTGCCGCCGTTTACCTCCCGCGAATCCAGTCAGCGTTTCCCCAGCTGGAACACGGACGCCGGCCACAGAGCATCACCTTAGCTTCTCAGTGCGCATGCGCCACGCGTCCGAACCGGCGGGCGTCAAGGAGCAGGTGCTTCGCCTGGCGGCCTCGGCCAATCACAGCGGGACGCTTAGAGATTTTTAAAGCCAATCACGGCGAAGGGATTCCATTCCCATCAGCAAACTAACCCAACCCCGAATCGGTCCGCCGTTCTTGGAGAACTTAATATGGGCGGCCTGGCCAATCAAGTTGCAATTTTTATTGCTTGCTGATGGAAAACCCTAAATTATTTTCGCAGCGGATTGCCCCACGGTTGCCGGTTTAGGTCCACTACAGACCGTTGAAAACTCGATTGTCCGATTTCGATTTAGAATGTTTTTAAATGCGGGCTTTTTTAAAAATTTCTCTTATCAAAGGCATACACGCCTTCCTGCAAAAGTGAATGCAATGCAGCGATTAATATGTGAGAGTGGGACTTTCAAATCCGCACATTATCATTAAGTCTGTTAGATTTCACTCAGTCCAGCTGATCTCGTTGGTGAGACGTCTGTTATTAATTTATGCAACTGGAATTCCAGAGGATAGGTGGATTATAAATTTAATTTACTAGTGTTAATGAATAATCAAGCCAAAAATAAAATGTTTGATCGTACTTTAAAAATAGCTACTTTAAATGAATCTAGTTTTGATTATATTGTATTTATTGTATTTTTAATTAAGTACAATTATCTATTATAAGAAAATGACTTATTGAACAATCAACTGCTGGTTAGATATTCTTCTGTTATTTTTTTCCACCTTTTTCAAAGTAAAATAGTTATTTTATACAGGTTTCCCTTCCCCACCCACTTCCCAATCTTTAGAACTGGAAAGTTTACCCCTCTCAATTTTTAAAATCTTTTCAAATAACCCAATATTTGTTTTATTTATTTCTATCACTATCACCTAACAGAAACTGAATGAATGCTCTTCCTTAATCTGGTGGCCTTCAAATACACTGCTAAAAAAAGGGGGGGGAACAGAAAAATTAGACATCCTAGATCTGAATGAATGAAATATTCTCATTAAATACTTTGTCCATTACATAGTTGAATGTGCTGACAACAAAATCACACAAAAATTATCAATGGAAATCAAATTTAGCAACCCTTGGGGGTCTGGATTTGAAGTTACCCTCAAAATTAAAGTGGAAAAAAACACTACAGGCTGATTCAACTTTGATGTAATGTCCTTAAAACAAGGCAAAATGAGGCTCAGTAGTGTGTGTGGCCTCCACTTGCCTGTATGACCTCCCTACAATGCCTGGGCATGTTCCTGATGAGGTGGTGGATGGTCTCCTGAGGGATCTCCTCCCACACCTGGACTAAAGCATCTCCCAACTCCTGGACAGTCTGTGGTGCAATGTGGCGTTGGTGGATGGAGTGAGACATGATGTCCCAGATATGCTCAATTGATTCAGGTCTGGGGAACAGGCAGGCCAGTCCATAGCATCAATGCCTTCGTCTGGCAGGAACTGCTGACACACTGCAGCCACATGAGGTCTAGCATAGTCGTGCATTAGGAGGAACCCAGGGCCAACCGCACCAGCATACGGTCTCACAAGGGGTCTGAGGATCTCATCTCGGTACCTAATGGCAGTCAGGCTACCTCTGGCGAGCACATGGAGGGCTGTACGGCCCCCTAAAGAAATGCCACCCTACACCATTACTGACCCTCTGCCAAACCGGTCATGCTGGAGGATGTTGCAGGCAGCGTCTCCAGACCCTGTCACGTCTGTCACATGTGCTCAGTGTGAACCTGCTTTCATCTGTGAAGAGCACAGGACGTCAGTGGCAAATTTGCCAATCTTGGTGTTCTCTGGCAAATACCAAACGTCCTGCACAGTGTTGGGCTGTAAGCACAACCCCCACCTGTGGATGTCGGGCCCTCATACCACCCTCATGGAGTCTGTTTCTGACCATTTGAGCAGCCACATGCACATTTGTGGCCCGCTGGAGGTCATTTTGCAGGGCTCTGGCAGTGCTCCTCCTGTCCCTCCTTGCACAAAGGTGGAGGTAGCGGTCCTGATGCTGGGTTGTTGCCCTCCTACGGCCTCCTCCATGTCTCCTGGTATATTGGCCTGTCTCCTGGTAGCGCCTCCATGCTCTGGACACTGCTGACAGACACAGCACACCTTCTTGCCACAGCTCGCATTGATATGCCATCCTGGATGAGCTGCACTATCTGAGCCACTTGTGTGGGTTGTAGATTCCGTCTCATGCTACCACTAGAGTGAAGCACTGCCAGCATTCAAAAGTGACCAAACCATCAGCCAGAAAGCATAGGAACTGAGAAGTGGTCTGTGGTCACCACCTGCAGAACCACTCCTTTATTGGGGATGTCTTGCTAACTGCCTATGCTTTCCACCTCTTGTCTATTCCATTTGCACAACAGCATGTGAAATTGATTGTCAGTGTTGCTACCTAAGTGGACAGTTTGATTTCACAAAAGTGTGATTGACTTGGAGTTACATTGTGTTGTTTAAGTGTTCCCTTTATTTTTTGAGCAGTGTATATTAGTTCTAAAACTCAAAACTTCCAAATGCTGTAGTAATAGTTGACACCAGGTTGAGACAAAACACACCTGATTGCAAAAGCATCAATAAAACAGGCTCTAGACTTATTTTAAAACTACTACTGTGTCAATGTGGCTAGAGTGATATGTTGCTTTAAAGTATAATGTGATTTATTTTAGTTTATAATATTGTGTTAATCTAGTTATTGTGGTTTCCAACCAGATTTTATGGTTTAGCATATTGAGCAAATTCAATTGTGATTTATTCAATAATAGCAATAGCACTTAGACTTATATACCACAGTGTTTTACAGCCCTCTCTAAGCAGTTTACAGAGTCAGCATATTGGCCCCAACAATCTGGGTACTCATTGACCTCAGAAGGATGGAAAGCTGAGTCAATCTTGAGCCGGTCAGGACTGAATTGCTGGCAGTCAGCAGAGTAAGCCTGCAATACTACATTCTTACCACCCAGCTCATGGTTCAGATAAATTCTGTCTCACTGTGGTATATGAGTCCATCCATCACAATCATGTCTTTAAAACCAACGTGAAGATACTTGACACAGATACTTTTATGTTATCACATTCATGAATGGGGAACACCAGTCTCCAATATATTTTGACAGCATTTAATTCTGCATTTAAATTTAAGATAATCAGTTAAAAGCTGCTATTATTGATCTAACCTTTGCTTTATCACTAGTCACACCTTTAAGATAAGGTTCAGAAATATTTCATTTGCATTAGATATCTACTCATTTCTGCTCAAATAAATGGATTATTGGTAAGTTTCCACTAATGTGTATCAAATGAAACCAAAGGTTCAGGAAGTTCCTATGTTATTGATAGTTTATTGCCTACATGTTAATTAGATATGAGGTGATGTGAGTTTTATATCACATCAATCAATCAATCAAAATAGAGCTGGAAGGGACCTTGGAGGTCTTCTAGTCCAGCCCCCTGCTTAAGCAGGAGAGCCTATACCATTTCAGACAGGTGACTGTCCAATCTTTTCTTTAAAACCTCCAGTGATGAAGCACTTACAAGCTCTGAAGGGAAGCTGTTCCACTGGTTAATCGTCCTCACTGTTAGGAGTAAGGAATTCCAAGTTGCTTCTCTCTATGAGTAGTTTCCATCCATTGTTTATTGTCTTGCCTTCTGGTGCTTTGGAAAATAAGTTGATCTCCTCTTCTTTGTGGCAGCCCCTCAAATACTGGAATACTGCTACCATGTCATCCCTAGCCCTTCTTTTTTCTAGACTGGCCATACCCAATTCCTGCAACCATTCTTCATATGTTTTTGTCCCCAGGCTCTTAATCATCTTAGTTGCTTTTTTTTTGCACTTTTCCCAATGTTTCAACATATTTTTTGTAATGTGATGATCAAAACTGGATACGGTATTCCAGGTGTGGTCTTACTAAGGATTTATAAAGCAGTACTAATACTTCACGTCATTTTGATTCTGTGTCTCTGTTTATACAACCAACGATTGTATTAGCTTTTTTGGCTGCTACCGCATCCTGCTGATTCATGTTTAAGTGACTGTCCACTAGGACTTGCAGGTCCCTCTCACAGTTACTGTTCTTGAGCCAGGTTTCACTTAATCTGTACTTGTACCTTTGGTTTTTCCTGCCTAGGTGTAAAACCTTGCTTTTCTCCACATTAAATTTCATGTTATTTAATAGAGTCCATTGTTCAAGTCTGTCAAGATTTTTTTAGATTCTGAGCTTGTCTTCTAGGGTGTTAACTATTCCTGCCAGCTTAGTATCATCTGCAAATTTGGTAATTCCCTCTTCTATTCCCTCATCTAAGTAATTTATGAAGATATTGAAGAGTACTGGGCCTAAGACGGAACCTTGTGGTACCTCACTGCTTACTTCCCTCCATGTAGACGTAGATCCATTAAGGACTACTCATTGAGTATGGTTTGTCAGCCAGTTACAAATCCATCTAGTGGTGATGCTGCTTATTGCACATTTTTCTAGTTTACCAAGAAGTAGATTGTGGTCTACTTTGTTGAATGCCTTGCTGAAGTCTAAGTATACTATAGCCACAGCATTTTGCTGCTCCACTAATTTAGTCACTTTGTCAAAGAATGAAATAAGATTGGTTTAGTGAAACCATGATCTGTTTTTAACAAACCCATGCTGGCTACTAATTATAACTTTGCTTCTAGATGATCACAGATCTGGGTTTTAAAATTATTTTTCCAGTATCTTCCCAGGTATTTATGTTAGGCTGATTGGTCTGTAGTTTTCTGAGTCTGTTTCCCCACCCCCTTTTTGTGAGGATGGGAACCACAACTTTTCTGATCCTCTGGCAATTCCTTGGTATTCAATGATTTTTTAAACATATGGTACAATGGTTCTGAGATCTGCCAGCTCCTTCAGAACTCTGGAATGTAACCCATCAGGTCCTGGTGATTTACATATATTCATCAAGATCAGACAGGTTTTCTCTTACCATTTTCTTGCTTATTTTAATTTTTATTTCTAGTCTGTCTTTTACAATTACATTTTTGATAGGTTGGGGTACAGT